AAGGGGCAGCGCTGGATGAACACAGCAGGCCAAGCAGCATCATAGGAGCAGATGCTGCTTGGCCTGCTGTGTTCATCCAGCCCTGCACCTTGTAGCTAGGAAAATGTCTGTTTAAATGCAGAAGATAGGGTGGCAGGGAGGAGCTAAGGAGTAAATAATAGGTGGGGTTAGAGCCCAAAGGGAGAGAAGAACAGTTGGATAGATGAAGAAGTTGATAACGATCTGGCTAGGAGGGTGAATATCTGTTAATGAGGACTGTTAGTAGCTAACAATAGTTAAATGACAGTCACTAACTTAGAAGAACAGAAAACAAATGGAAATGGATCATTCAGCCCTTCAAGCCTGTTCCATTATTCAATACGATCATGGGTGATCATCCAGCTCTGTTACCTAGTCTGACTTTTGCTCCATATCCTTTGATCCCTTTAACCCTAAATACTAGATGTAACTCCTTCTTGAAAACATTCAAATGTTTTGGCCTCAACTGCTTTCTGTGGCAGAGATTTCAACAGGCTCACTGCTCTCTGGATAAAGAAAATTTTCCTCATCTCAGTTCTAAATAGCCTACCCTGTGTCTTTATACAGTGACCCCAGCTTCAGGACTCCCTGGTCATTGGGAACATCCTTCCTGCATTTAACCTGTCTAATCCTGGTAAACTTTATAGGTCATCCATGACTCATAACCATTTTCATTAAATATCAGATAGCAGAACACCATTTCTGAAGAAGGGTCCTGACCCGAAACGTCAGCTTTCCTGCTCCTCTGATGCTGCCTGGCCTGCTGTATTCCTCCAGCTCCATACTGTGTTATCTCAGACTCCAGTATCGGCAGTTCTTACTATCTCTCACCACAGATGTCAACTGCTTCAGGGGAGGAGATGAAAACAGGAATGAAGAAAAAAAGACAAAGAACAGAAAATGCTGTGCAAATAATTCACCTGCTATATAGAATCATAGAATAATACAGCAATGGAAACAGGTCCTTCAGCCCAAACTGGTCCATGCTGACCATGGTGTCCACACAGCTAATTCCAATTGCCCGCATTTGGTCCATATCCCCCCAAACCCTTTACATCCATATACCTATCTATATGCTTTTTAAAATGTTGCTATTGTACCTGCCTCAACCACCTTCTCTGGCAGCCCATTCCATATACACATCACACTCTGTGTGAATAAGTTGCCCCTCCGGTCCTTTTTAAATCTTTCCCATCTCACCTTAAACCTATGCCCTCTAGTTTTCAATTACCCATCCCTGGGAAAAAGACTATATGCATTCATCCTATTATGACCCTTATGATTTTATGCTCTTCAATACGGTCACCCCTCATTCTCTTACATTCCAAGGAATAAAGTCCTATCCTGGCCAACCTCTCCCTATAACTCAGGCCTACTAGTCCTGGCAACATTCTCATAAATCTTCTTTGCACACTTTCCAATTTAACTATGTCTTTCCTGTAACAGGTGACCAAAACTGTACACAGTACTCCAAATGCGGCCTCACAACGACTTGTACATCCCACTAGGATATGCAGTCGCATTGGTGCGGAACTAAAACCATCAGCATCCTAGGATTACCACTGAGCAGAAACTGGATCGACCATATACATGTTGTGGCTACAACAGTAGATCATAGACTGGGAATTCTGCAGCAAGTAACTCACCTACTGACTCCCCAAGACTGTCCATCATTTACAAGGCACAAGTCAGGAGTGTAATGGAATACTCCTCGCTAGCCTAGATGAAAGCAGCTCCAAGAGCAGTCAAGAAGCTTAGCACCATCCAGGGCAAAGTAGGCCACTTCACTGAACTGCATCCATCACCAGTGGAACAGTGTGGAGAATATCTATATGACACACAGCAGCAACTCATCAAGGGTCCTTCCACAGCACCTTGCAAATCTGTAACCAATACCATCTAGAAGGACAAGGGTAGCAGATATATGGGAGACCCACCATCTACAAAGTTCCCCTCCAAGCCACTCACCATCCTGACTTGGAAATAGATTCCCATTCCTTCAGTGTTGCTGGGTCAAAATTCTGCAACTCCTTTCTAACAGCATGGTGGGTCTACCTACAGCACACAGACTGCACAGTTCAGGAAGATAGCTCACCTGCACCTTCAAGGTGCAATTAGTGTTGTGCAATAAAACGTTGGCCCAGCCAACGACACCCATTTCTCTAGAAAGAATTAAAGAAAAACCACACTCCTTTCTCCAAAACATATCCACTCATGGTAAAACTGAAGATGCTGGGTCTAGCCAAATAAACATGCAGTGCCTTCTCTGGACAGATATGGGTATTTTGTAGTAGTGAGCGAACAAATCAAGAGGTTAGTAGTTCAAATTCCCACCATGACAAAATTATGAAGCTGAATTCAATAAGATCTGACAATTTATGGATTAAAACCCAATAATTAAAATGACTGTGAAAGATGCCAGGTTGTTTTTTCAACTTGAATCGATCATCTGCTATCTACCTGCCCAGTCTATCCTACAGATTAAAGGAAAGACTTGCATTTTTATAAACTCGATCAGGATGTCCCTACCTTACAGCCTCTTCTCAAATGTAGTCCCTGTTGCATTGTATGAAATACAGCAGCTAATTTGTGCACATTTAAATTCGACTAAAACCGCAATGTGATAATGGTCAGGTCATGAGTGTTTGGTTTGGGATGAATCTTGGTCAGGAACAGGGGAGAGTTCTACTCTTTGAAATTGTACCACAGGATGTTTTGCATCCTGCTGGAATGTTAGATAGGGCCTTAGTTTAACAGCCCATCCATCAGCACCTCTGATTAATGCAACACTCTCTCAATGCTGCATGGAGTGCTGGTCTGGATTATACACTCAATTCTCTGGAGTGGAACCTGAATCTTCAGCTTTATGGTCAGGGGAGACAGTGCTACCGTGGCTGTCACCCACAAATACAGTTAATCAGACTCTCGCTGGAGAGTGAGAAGCAACTGTAGGAGCAGTTATAAAACCAGCACTGGAAAATAAGACCCACCATCAACTCCTCAAAAAAAACACGGGATGCACAATAAACATGGCCTGGTCAACATTGCCTCCAAACTGACAGTCAGTATATAGCTGCAACAAAATATAACATTAGGCTTTGTGTTTTTATTTGGAACATGACTGGCTGATAAGCTGGGCTGTTCTACACTGTTACCGTATTACAGACCTTGAAATGAAGAGAATAAGGTTACAAGAAAAAACAACAAAAAACGAAACAAGGTCAGTCATCCTGCAATCAGTAAGTCAGTCCTGGATAGTTTGTATTTCTGCTTATTCATCATCTCATGCATCTTCTCAATGGATTGAGGTGAATTCTGTGTACCACATCAGGCCAAAAGAACTGCCCTTAATATGTGATAACAAGGTGTAGAGCTGGATGAACACAGCAGGCC